ATGTAATAAAGTTTCATGACACGCTTCTCTATAATGATAACGCTTTATGTATTTTAAATCTATAACAAAGCTCCATAATAGGCTTCTCTGTCTATAACGATAAATGCTTTATATTTATCAATTTGTGACTTGATTATTATGGATATGTGAACTACCTATACTTTTGTATCTACATTGCTGAGGAGAACTCCAAAGAGAGTTGAAACGTTCAAATAAAGAAGACATCATTCTAACTACAGAATACAATTATTCCATAATAATTTGCGTTATCTAACCGCGCTAACTCTCATATTAGCCTTTATATATTTGTATGTTATTTAAAAATCATTAAGTCAGCCACCAGGATATCGATTATGTATCTTTTTCCTTAGGGCGAAAGCGTGAAAAGTAAAAATTTTTTGTATGTTTGTGTATATATGTACATGTATACATACATAAAGTTTTTTTACTTTTCACGTTTTCGCTCAAGAGAGAAAGTTACATGATCGATACCCAGAGGGTGGATTGGCGACTACAAATTCGGACAGCGAAGAGGACAATATTCAAATAAAATTCAAATTCATAGTATTTAAAAATAATAAAAATAAATATTTTCACAAATTGAATTCGTCACAATACAATATGATAAGTAATATTTACGGCATACGATTGGAAGGAATGTGGTAGCTTCGGTAATCTAATTAAATACCAATGTCTCATTAAGGATATATGTTACATGTATTTTTTTACAAAATTAAAAAATATAGATTTTTCTGTATTATATTGTATTTGAAAGTACAGTAAGTCAAGTAAGAGCGTAATTCGTCGGCCTTAAAGCTAATAAAAGATATCGCCCTAAATCTATCATGAATCTATAGAGAGTACCTTTGTCCTTGATGCACTATCAAGGAAGATTCAGTTGTCATTGAACTTTCTTAAGAGAATCACATTAAGCGCCATGAGTACCAAATACGCATCACGCTATGAAGCGTGTTCCTCACGTTGTGTTTCTCTGCACTCACCCGAAAGGGTTCTAAAAATGTCACAATTAGCGGCTGCTAAATATATGAAAAAGTCGAAATCATATATAATCGTACAGAAGTGAGTGCAGCGATATAATGTGACAAAAAATGTCGATGATTTACCGGAACGTGACTCGATATGCAAAGTGGACAAAAAAAGACGATAAAAAAATAGTGAATCTGTTTTCGCGGAATCCTGGCTTAACACTGCGTCAAGGATAAGCGAAATTGAAACAGAAAGGTTTAGATATATCGTATAAAACTATTCGAACCTATCTCAAGGCTAATAACATAAACTCGACCATGCTCTTACTTGACTTACTGTAATTCAAAAAGTTTAGCGGTAAATTAGAATCTAACCTGGATTAAAATTATTTCAATAAAAAGCAATTTTAAAACATAAATAAGAGTTTTAGTAATATAATTACAAATAAAAAATAATTAGAATGAAAAAAATTTCATTAAAGTAATAATTATATTATTGAATATAAATATTGATATTATTGAGCGATTTCACACGTATATAACATTCATTTTTACAAGGAAAATATAAATTTTCAATTTCAGTCATTTTTTTAGCAAAGTTGTACACCTGATACAGCCCGTATTCTTTTATTTCCGATGCAATAAAGATTGCGATAGTTCTCGCCAGCAGTAGCAGCTCACATGTTTCCAACATGTTCTTACCATAGTTCCTTACTTCAACGAGCGCGTTGGAGTGAATAGGAGCTATAGTTATAACGTGTTGGAGCATGTAGACGCGCTACCTGAGTCTTTAGAATGTTCTAGTGCATTCTAAAAGGAATAAAAAACAGACAAAGATATCGTGATATAAATTACACAATTAGTTATTTAATACAAAGAAATGCGGTAATTTAGCTATAATATTGGCAAGCGCGGAAACGTCAAAGTAAAACAAACTATATGTTCCGAATAAAATAGAAAAGAAATCATAATCATCCCTCGTGGAAAAATTTCGCTGAACTTATTCCACGTTTTCACAAACATTTTTTAGTAAAATTTCAATATTTCAGAAAAAATTTAGTTTCATCATTTTAGCGATTTTTAAATAAAAAATTAATTTTCAGCAAAATTTTAACAAAATTTCAGAGAAATTTCAGCAAAAATTTCAGCAAAATTTTAAAGAAATTTTAGTTTAATTTCAGAAATTTTATATGTGTATTAATTGTAAAATTTACTTTCAGTGATATATTTTCAGCACATTTAATTTCGTTGAAATGTTCTAACGAATAATTTCAAAGTGAATTTTTTCACCTGGATCATAGGGACATCACCTTATTTTACCTATAAATTTATTTTTAAATATTAAATGAATTAATGATGTTCTATGATATCGTTACGACTTACTATAATTATAACTTTATGTTCTGCCTGAGATTAGAGAGGACTGTGCAAAAATAAATATTTTACTCACGACAGACCCAAACTTTCCAGAATACGATTTCGGAATTTTTCCATGTGCAATTCGTGAAATTATGTATTTTTATAAAAAAGAGATATCTCACCAATGCAACTCCTGGATCGGTGATAACACTCGATGGCTCGTTTCTTGATAGCAATAACGAAATGGAATCATCAATTCATCTCACAAGTATAACCAGCTTCGTTCTCTCACAAGTACATATGACCAACTCCGAGGACGACCACAATGCAAGTGTTGAAAATTTTAGAGGAGAGGGATACGTCGTCCCCACTTCTCCTTTCTGCTTTTCAAAATGATTTTCCGAATCATCGGTTACAATACCAATAGCATTTTCTCTTAGATACATTGGGTGCAGCTTCGCATCGCACCATGTGTGTAAAACCTAAGACACAATACGTGGGAATAGCGATAGCGATAGAAATAACACGATTTCAACTTATCAAAAATCGAACATATCAGAATACACAGTTTCTGATAGGTTGAAATCGTGTTATTTCTATCGCTATTCCTTCGCATTGTGTCTTGAGCTTAAGCGCTACACTCAGCTACACTACACAAAGATGCATATCATAGTGCTACATCATTAGGTGCGTTCGGCAATGTAAATCTACAGCAGGGAGCACGAACTCTTGCATAATACAAAACTCATGAATCCGTATTCGGAACGCGCTTTTCTTGATAAAAACGCGTTTTTATCTAAAAAATTCTATAGTAACGTAATTACAGCATGTTAACGCGCTAACATCGTTGTAAGTGCGTTCTGAATACGGACCGTAATACATAAGAAATATACCAATCAACGTCGTTTTTTCATAAAATAAAGAACTTTGATTGGTTGAATTTCTTATTACCTGTTATGCGGTATGTAAGAGTCTGTGCTCCCCGTCTGAGATGCGTGGGAGTGAGCTAGTAGATGGTGAGCTTGATTACGTGATCTTCGAGCAATCCGAGTGCCAAGAATTAATTCCGAACGCTACAGAACTGTAAACTGTCCTTTAAGGTTAGATTAAAGTGTTTATTTTTATGAATAAATAAAAAATACTCTATAAAAGTTATGCATTTCGCGGGTTTCCTCCGAGTTCAGATCCATTCTTGAAATGCCAACGTTTCGTGAACCTTGCAGTCCACTTCATCAGGGCGAAGAGCAGCCTGATACTGTAGTCTCTTGATACTGTATCAGGCTGCTTTTCGTCCTGATGAAGTAAACTACAAGGTTCACGAAACGTTGGCATTTCAAGAATGGATCTGGACACGGTGGAAACCCGCAAAACGTATAACTTTTATATAGAAAGCACCCGTGGAATATTATCAAAAAATACTCTATTAATTGAAAATGTCTCGTTTTACTGGAAACTAATAGTCTTATATACTAAAAAACTAGATCATTACATATAAATGTAGTAAGGTGTGTTTTTTTAAAAGAAAATATTACATTGCAAAATAAATTTCAGCAATTTATAAGTTATACCACTTGATTTATATTTGTTAGAGTCTTTAATATATTAATACA